AGGTAAACAATGGTAAACCCATCAAGCCTTTGTTCTCCTATTGTTTGATTCATGGCCAGAAGGCAGAAATTGCCCTTAAAAATCCCTGGATTTTAGCAGACCATGCGGTACCTTGGAAGTGCATGCTGAATTTCTGTCGGTCTGCACTCTGAGACAGTTCCCATGACCCCCTCTCTTGCCGGTTGTGCCCCTTACACGGAACCCATCCGCATTCACTGCCAGAAGTCATGAGGAGTCTCTCAGGCATAAGTATATCACTCTATCCTGGTTATCCCTCTTTGCCTTCCCCGCTCTCGCTCTTTCCCGCTTATTCTTCTAGCGTGTGTGTGTGTGTGTGTGCTGTATTTGGGTGTTTGCTTATTTTGTTAATAAATATTTCAGACTTTAATTTGGAGTTTGGTTCCTCTCAGCATCATTCCCTGCCAAAATTCTTATATATCTGGTATACACCTGGATAAGATCTCCGAAGCGAAGTTGGGTGCTTCACTCTCACACATTTGAGCTAATTATAAATTTCCCAAAATTAGGCTTGTTTCCCAACACATCCAAAGAGCTAGACTACTGAGGGAAGCAGAGGTCCAAGACAGTAACAAACATAGCAGTCTCTTCCTTTCTACAGCCCACTGATGGTCTCTGTTGTCTTCAGTCTCTTTGCTGGGTGTTGTTTGGTAAGTCCTCCTTCCAAGTCCTGTTTTCATAGTTCAGCTAGGCAAGGCAGCTGTGCTGGGTGGATGTCAGTGCCTGCTGAGTGAGGGCTCCAGTTCCACAAAGAGCAAGACCTCTTAGGGAAGCAGAGGTCCAAGGCAGTAGCAAATACAGCAGGCTCTTCCTTCCTACAGCCCCGATGGTCTCTGTGGTCCTTAGTCTTTTCCCTGATGGCTCTTCTCTCCCTCAAAGGCCACAGTAGTAGCAGAACAATTGGGTTTTCTTGGCAAGATTTGTTCAGAGGAGGTTTGCTATTGCCTTCCCCTGAGGCTGAATGTGGCTATCATGTCACCTCTTAACCTTCATTTGTCCTGGCTAAATATACTCAGCTTCCTAAGCCTTTCCTCATAGGGCATGGTTTCCAGACCTTTCACTATTTTCGTTGCCCACCACTCGATACGTTCCAGCTTGACAATATCCTTCTTGAATTGTGGTGCCTAAAAGTGGACACAGTATTCCACGTAAGACTTTACTAAAGTAAACTAAAATGATAGTATTACTTCTATTAGTCTAAAACACTAAACTCCTATTGATTTGGAACATTCATCATTTTGCTTAGTGTAGCCTATTTTTTTTTTTATTTTGCAGAAGAAAGGACTACATCTGCACTAAAGATGCATCAACAGCCTAGCACTAAGTTGCGTGCATGCATGTTTTCCTGACAATTTGTAGACATCACAATTCCTGTGGAAAAGGTGCATAGACACTTGCCAATTGACTGGTAGCAATTTTAATCCCATCTGCTAATTTAGTTGTCCAGACTGTATGTGAACATTCTTGACTGGTAAATTAACTGAAGCAGAGTGGAAAACAGAGTGAGAGCTTAAGCTCAATGCTGGGAAAATGAGAACAGCTGTCCAATAGTGCTCCCTTGAGGCAGCACACACAAAGTGATCTGCCAAACTAAAGGCCTAAGCAGACTGCCAGAAATAGTGCACATTAAATTGAGGCACTGCCCTGGCTCAGTGCTAGGGAGTCATGGGAACTGTATTTTTTTCTGGGACATTGAGCCTTCTCTGTGAGAGAGCTCTGGTGCCACAATAAATTACAGTTCCCATGATTCCCTAGCACTGAGCCAGGGCAGTGCCTCAATTTAATGTGCACTATTTCTGGTAGTCTGCTTAGGCCCTAACTCAATCTGCATTGCTAATTTTGGCTTTCCCCAATTCCAGTCAAAACGAAACCTAGTGAGGCATCTAATTCTTACAATTGCTTTAGTTTATTCCTAAACTATTTCTAGATTGCTTTCATATTAAAAAAATTAAATATCCCCAAAAGTTAACAAAATTCTGTCCGACAAAACATACTCTCCATTGCCCTGATTTGGCAGGGACAGTCCCAATTAATCTTCTGTCATTGCACATTTTCAGCTAATTTTTAAATGTCTTGGTTTTTCTGTCCTCCCATCTTCCCCATGTGTCCTCACCTTGCTTCAGTCACTGCAAACTGAGTTCACAGTGCAAAAGTAGTTTGCACTCCATTAACTTAGCAGGGGGGAAGAGGGGGTGAAATGTTGACTCAGGCAAATGCAAACTGTTGCAGCCTCTCTTAGCTTTTGTGTTCTTCCTCATTAATAACTTTTGCCATATTACCTTCCTTGGATGTTGCTTGGCCACATGTGTCCTGGCTTTCATCTGTGAAGTGCTGAAGAATATGAGGAAGTGATAAGGACACAAACAAATTATTCTATATAAGCATAAGTTGCAAAGGCAACCTATAGAAAAATCATCTAGAAAGCAAAGCAATAAAAATTGCTATTACTCATTGGGGATTGCTTTAAAACTTTGAAGACATAAGACATCTTGTTGCCTAATAATAGAAGTGTTGATACCAGCATAGCCTGCCTATGGGAATTATTGCACAGCTGGGATGCCACCACCAAATGGGTCTTGTGTTAGATCATAACCAGACTAACCTTTAAGATTACGTCTGCAATAATTTATTATTGTTGTTGTTGTTGTTGTTGTTGTTATTATTATTATCAAAGTAGGTTGTCATGCTAAGATGGTTCTACTCTCTGTTTGCTTCCTGCTGATAGGCAAAGACTTTCTGATTTAGAATCATAGAATTGGAAGAGACCCGAAGGGCCAACGAGTCCAATCCTTTGCCATATAGGAATTCACAAAGCACCCCCAACAGATGGCCCCAAAAGAAAACCCTCCAAGTAAATCTTCCTGCACAAAACAAATATAAATTGGAAATAATAAGGCACCTCATCCTGACTTCAGGTGAGTCTGATTATCAAAAGGCATGCCTGAATAAGTGGCATGTATCAATACATGTGGGAGGGGGGAGCTCACCAGGAGTGTAATCCTTCCATTATATTCATAACAAGTAACTATTTTCAAATGCAAAGGAGAAAAGAG